AAATATGAAGGTGCACTAACATTGCACTGTGACATTCCCTGTGAGAGACAGAATGCGATGGCTTAATTCTTTCAGCACTCAGTTCCAATTAGAAAAGAAATTCCTTTAGCCTGTTTCCGTACTGCTATCATAACTTACACTAAAATGGTTAAAGTGAAAGGAACACAGGGAGAACAAGAAACAGATGAGGGCAAATAAAAGAGATGAGATTATGAGGAGATAGAAGTGTCTGAAAATGGCTTTGCAAAGTATCAGCCTATGAAAGTAAAATGTCCAATAATGACGACAATAAAGGACATAAGAACACATGGAATTATAAGAGGAATAAATGGAAAAAGATTCTGCAGCTAGCATAGGCAATGTGTTTTCTCACTAATAAAATCAAGAAGATGAGGAATGTCCATTAACAATTAACAGTGTTACAACAAATACTAAGATTATTTCAGTATTGAAAACTGCTGGTGGAATTCAATGTTTCGAAGCATGTTTATAAACTAGACACAAGAAAAATGTACAAATGTAATATATAATGAAACCTTGAATTTGAAATGAAAACTAGACAAATCCTTAATTACTGCCAGATGGCACTGCAAAGTAATGCCTCTCCTATACATGAGCTTAGTCATCTACAGGTGCCATACCTAACCTACCATAGAGGCATTGTATCATTTAAGACTACGCGAAAGTCACTAGATGCTATGACACAAACTCTGTCCTAAGTGCAACAATTTATTGTAGTTTTTCGTCTTCTTTTCATCTACACTACATGTTTTGGCAGTAAACGGCCATCATCAGATGTATACTCTCACATAGCTGCTACACTGCACATAGTTTAAAATTTAAAAACACCAGCTTTCTTAATTGTTCATTTCTCTGTTGTTAATAGGTCCCGATATATCAGAATCCCCTTGCTGATATGTGTCAGATATGTATAAAATCTTTGTTAATTTACATACGTCAATTTGATTTTTGAATTTTGGTATTTTTAAAATCTTCAATTTAAATTTAAACTTTTTTAAAAATAAAAATAAAAAATCAATTTAAATTAATTTTTTTTTATTAAAAAAAATTAAATTTAAATTGAAGATTTTAAAAATACCAAAATTCAAAAATCAAATTGACGTATGTAAATTAACAAAGATTTTATACATATCTGAAAAATACCAGGAAGGGGATTCTGATATATCGGGACCTAATAACAACAGAGAAATGAACAATTAAGAAAGCTGGTGTTTTTAAATTTTAAACTACTTGCAGTGTAACAGTTATGTGAGAGAAATACACCCGATGAGGCCCATTTACGGCCGAAACATGTAGTGTAGAAGAAAAGAAGACAAAAGAACTACAATAAATTGTTGCACTTAGGACGGAGTTTGTGTCATACATTGTGTAGAGTGTAACAGGATGCTTAAATACAATATTGTAACTAGATGGTGCTTGTAACCAGATACTGCATTTTTTAATATTTGTACATCTGCTGTTACTCATTTATTTAAAACAAAATAATGCAAACTGACAGTGTACTGCTAAAAATGGTGGGCTCGGAGGTAAGCCTGGTGCAGAGGTGTTTGGAGCGAATGTTGAGGAAAACAAACCTTCAAACTATAAATCAAATTCACATCACATATGAGAGAGTCCTATGCACTGTTGTGAACCACTCCATTTCAGAAATATGCACAGATACAACAATAAATACAGTATCAAGCGCTCCTATATGGACAATTAATTCAATCATAGTCATGTCTTGGTCTTCCTACTGGTTGCTGTCCTTCTGGTCTTCCACCCATTTGTGCTACATGCTCTGCCCATCTCATCCTTCTTGACCTGATCATTCTAATTATACTTGGCAAAGAGTACAAGTTATGAGCTCCTCATTATGCAATTTTCTCCAACCTCCTGTCACCTCATTCCCTTTCAGTCCAAATATTCTCAACACCCTCAGTCTATGTTCCTCCCTTAATGTCAGAAACCAAGCTTCACACCCATACAGAACCACAGGCAAAATTATAGTTATGTTTATTGTAATTTTTAAGTTTTTAAACAGCAGATGAGAAGACAGAATGTTCCGGGCTGAATCCTAGCAAGCATTACCTGAATTCATTATCCTCTTAATTTCCTCCCGAATCACATTTTGATTTGTTACTATTGTTCCCAAATATTTGAACCGTGCAACATTTTCAAAACATGTCTTAGTTATCTTTGCCATAATTTTTCCATGCACTCTAGTGACAAGACAGCGACATATACTTAGTTTTCTCTGTGTTTAATTCTAGACCAACCTCCTTACAAGTGCCAATTAAAGTTTCTGTGTTCTTCTTTATGGTATCTATGTTATGACCCATTAGATTCACATCATCAGCATAGATTAGCAGCTGATGTTATCTACTTAATTTCAGTCCCACCTGGGTTTCCTGGACCCTCCTAATGGCATATTCTAAAGCAAAGTCTAACTTACTGATAATTTAGCAAAGTTTTTACTTTGTAATGTATAAAGATATTTCATAAAAAGCTGCACAGTATTGTTTCTCCTGTACATAATACTGTAGAATTATTTTCTCCCTCGCTCTACAAGCTGGACACAGGAGTAGCAGTTAAATTAAGGTTCTCGGATTTGTAATGCAGAAGTGAGGATTCTATACTATTCACCATAAAAACATTTTGCCTCATTGCCGTATGGGAAAATGAATTAATGTATCTATTTAATGATACTTAACAATGCATTAGATCAGAATTGGAAGGAAAAAATGAAGTAAGTTTAGCTGTCCCCCCCCCCCCCCCCCCGCCTACNATGAACTCTTCAGACAGAATCACATCTGCAAGAAATCACCAGGTAACTAGCATACTACATCCAGACAGAGATACACTGACTGGTTAAAACACAGTCACAATGTAACAAGTGTTACATCTGACAATAAGTAAACCACCTCTATTTCATATAAAACAAAAACAAACTCTATGGCCTACAGTCTGCAAGTGAACTATACTGAGTGACTGCTGCTTGTCGGCGAAGTTAGCGTCAACTTTAGCAGATAGAGAGTGTCATGTGGTCAGCACAACGGATCCCCACGGCCATTAATCTCGGTTTTCTAGACCAGAGCTGCCATTTCCTTGAAACAGCTCCTCAATTATCCTCGCAAGGCTGAGTGGACCCCTTTCCAGACCCACTATTTCAGCCAGGGCAGTTTAACTTCCAGACTTACAGCAAAAACCTGGGGCCTCTTCAATACAAAACAAAAACCTGTTAATCATTCAACTGTGATGTTCAGTTTCATAATCATAAGAAGTCGTATGTGTTTATATAGGAGCACTGCTTACCTTATTTATTGAAGAACTTTAAACACTTGGTGATATTATCTCCATTATAATTTCCGAGTCCAGTATGTGTGGTTTGAAATGAAAGAATCTAATGTGCAGGATTACACAAAGAGCTGAGAAGCAAGCACTAACTCTACAAGAACTGTCATTCCAGAAGCATAAAATAATCTCATGTCATACACATTTCAATCTTTGCTGCAAACGGAGACACAACGTGTGACATTACGTCCCACTGTATGTATATGGATATTTTCTGAACAACCATGACTGATTTTGTGTGTGCATATAGCCGACATCAAGGCTGGAAAGCTGCATTTTTTAGGCTGCTTTCCTCATTTTGAAAAAAATGAAAGGAAGCTTATGAGGTCACCTTTCTGCCTGTCCATGTATAAATTTGTGTCTGTCCATCTGCCTGTGTAGCCACTCTGATTTTTGTTACAAGGATTATGACATCCCCTTGCTGTCTGTGTCCCCCCCCCCCACTTTTGTTAGGAGGTTTATGAGGTTGCTTTGCTCCTCTCTGTGCATTTGTCTCCTCCTTCCCCATTGTTCCCAGCCATTATTACATAAGATTATTATCTGTCTGCATGTACCCCCTTAATTCTTGCATTTTCTATGTGGCCCATGTCATATCAAAGGAAAGTAGGCACCTATTTCTTCCCAGAACTTCTTGTCATATTATCACAACAACAATGCAAATCTTAGAATGTATTATGAAAATACTGAAAATTTAGAAATAACAGGCAATATATAAAATGCTGTGGCAATACTGAACATGAAAGCAGATACGTCAACAATTCTTCTGTTGCATGCAAATCAAAATGGTGTCCTATAGACCACATGCACTCCTAAACATAAGCTACCCAAAAGTGACATAAATTTCGCTTATTTCAAATGCAAAGTGGCCATAGGACATTAAAATGCTAGAAATAATTCAAGCATTGAAATAAATTAATACTCCTATTTGGCCATAAAAAGTTATGTCTCTGGCCTGATAAAGGAAGAACCGCGATTTTCAATTTGAATTCTAAAGACACTTATATGGAAAGAATATGTCTGTTACCAACAATATTTTAGGTAAACATTTATTATAAGATTCCACTGAATATTTTGGGAAAATATCTCTTTGGTCTTGACATTTACTGTAACTGCAAACAGAGTGATGACAAAATTAACCCATTTTAACAATACTTTTCAACATATTTTGTTACTGTGGACCACCTCTTTCAAAATGAAATCAAAATATGCTGAATAGTTTGGAGGTGAAACATGTATATGAACAGGTAGATATACAGGCAGGCATAACAGCCACTGTGTTGTATTCATTTTGTTTATTGCAATTTCTTGAAAAGAATGCAAGAAAAATAGCACAGAACCAAATATGATGGTTTTATGTTATACTATAAATTACTGAAATGGGAGAGGTTAGAACAAGGTGCACAAATACCTTCCACTTGTATGTTTCAAAGGCAGGTTGCAAAGAAGTTACTTGGTAATATCTGAGATAGAATGCATCAGTCGATACCTAATCAGTATCCTCAATACATGGAAGAATTATCAGAATCACAGTTCCTGTCCTACTGCCTCCCAGCCAACTTTTCTACAGTAAAATAATTTGAACAAACAATGAGGTACATGGATTGGGGAAAAATATGTCTACAATACGTAAACTAAGTGCAACATACCTGACTCTTTGTGTCCCCTTTTGGAGTCTCTCTTTGTTTCGGTGGAGCACTCAACTGAGCTTTGAGGATGGGAGAGGCCGGTGCAGGGGCAAGGGGTAGTGAGGCATCACCTAAAGTTGCAGAAATATCGGATGTGGCTTGGGGTGCAGGAGAAGTGGTGGGTGGAGGAGGGGTCACAGTTTTGGTCACAACATTAAGACCCTTGCGCTGCACAGAAACTGCTGGTGCTGGCTGTGGAGACGGTGGTTGCTGAACAGTAGCGGACACTGATACAGGGACTGAGAACGGATTTGCTCGCACCTTTATACCCTCGTAGAACATCAGGTTGGTGGTTCCTGGCTGGTCAACACTCCCACTGACACCAATCGACTGCTTCTGAGGGTTGGGTCCAACAGTCCCTCCAAACACTGACCTGAAGCATCAAATGTTAGAAACAGTGTTAGAACAACTAGAAATCCTTCAATTTACATTTCAAATCATCGATGGATTTTAATAAAATTTCGAAGTTTCTCAATGTGCTCGACATTTAACTTAGCCTAATCCTAAATGTTACGTACATTAATTAACTTCGTGGAGCTCATCCCTTCTTGAGAAGCTGCCATTTGTAGAGTTACTCAAGAACTTCCCAGCATTTTATGGAACCCAAAGGTTCATTACCATGTTCACAAGAGCCCACCACTGGTCCTTATTAACCTGAGCCAGATTCAACCAGTCCATACCACCCCATCCTATCTCTCTAAAATCTGTTTTAATATTATCCACTCACCTATGTCTTGGTCTTCCTAGTGGCCTCTTTCCTTCTGGTTTTCCCACCATTAACCATATGCATTTCTCTTCTCCCCATTCGTGTTACATTCACTGCCCATCTCATCTTCCTTGACTTGATCATTCTAATTATATTTGGCGAACAGTACAAGTTATAAAGCTCCTCATTATGCAGTTTTCTCCAACCTCCTGTAACTTCATCTCTCTTTGGTCCAAATATTCTCCTCAGCACCCTGCTCTCAAACATCCACAGTCTATGTTCCTCCCTAAATGTCAGAGACCACACTTCACACCCATACAGAACCATGGGCAAAACTACAGTTTTGTATAAGGGCTACTCAAATGAAAACGGGTCATCATGCATATAGACAGTTTCACGTAACTTCGAACAAGGCCCTGCATACCTAGTCAAATCCGGCGCATAGCTTGTGGTAGGAGGAGTATCTTAACACTCGTTCTTCCCTTGAACCCACACCCTTGTCTGAAATTTTTCTTCTGCACATTCAAGGTTACTCTTGGCCTTGTTTGAAGTTACGTGACACTTGCTATAACTCACACAGCGCGCAAGTTGGTAACACTGGAATTTGCTTACGGTACGAACATCTGGTGGGGACTCGGGAAAGCACAGTGACTTGCCCTTGCACACTAGTCGTTTGTTTGCTATGCTGGAAGTAAGGTTAGCGCTACGTGTGGGTCTCCAACATCAGTAATGGAGGCGGGTAAAGAAGAACAGCGATGTGTATTGCACGTTTGGACTGCTGAAGGAGTAGGACAACGAGAAATTCATTGTGGCATGTCTGTTGTTTACGGTGAACACAGCATGTCACGTTTGCATGTGCTGGCGTGGCACAAGAGATTCCGAGAGGGACATGTCACTGCAAGATGATGCTTGCCCAGGAGAGGCTCATCATGTCATCACTCCTCATGTTATTGTTGTGTTCTATGGTCATATCTGGGCAAACTGACAGATCACTGTGGAAGAAATTGGTCTTTTGATGGGAATAAGTCACAGTTCCATACACGCCATTGTGACAAAACACCTGCTGTACCCCCAAATCTGTGTGCAGTGGGTTCGACATCAAATTACAGAGGAACAGATGACTGAGAGAACTGCTGCATCACTGGGTCACTTGCACTTGTAACGATATCATGAGGACGAGCATACTTTTCTGTCCCGTACTGCCGCTGGGGATGAAACTTGGTGCCATCAGTTTGAACTCGAGAGCAAACGGCAGAGCCAACAGTGGAAACACGTGAATTCTCCCCCACCGAAGAAATCCAAAGCCATACACACAAGTTCCAGTAAAGTGTTTATGATGTTCTCCTTCGACTGCAACGGCTCTCTGCTTGTTGAATTTCTCACACATGGGGCCACAATCAGTGCACAGCACTATGAAGACACTTTACAGAAACTGAGACGTGCCATAAAGTAAAAACGCCCTGGAATGTTATTGAATGGCATTAACCTTCGTCATGATAATGCGCGCCCCCACACTGCCAACTCTGTGAGGAATATGCTAGATATTTGGTTGGGAAGTGCTTTAACATCCCCCTACAGCCCAGATCTCTCCCCATGTGATTTTCACATTTTTGGAGACCTGAAGAGAGACATTCATGGACATCAGTTTGCACTGGACAAAGACGAGTGTGGCTGGGTAAAGATGTGGTTCTGTAGACAGCCCACAAGCTTTTTCAAGGATGGGACTGATCATCTTATTTCCCAGTGGGATAAATGTATTAACAGTTTTGGAGACTACTTTTGAGGTAAGAAATGTTCTTTACTATGTTTTGGCTTCTGACCCATTTTCATTTGACTGCCCCTCATATATTCTAATTTTTTAAGTTTTTAGACAGCAGATGAGAAGATTGAAGGTTCTGGGCTGAGTGGTAGCAAGTATTACCCGAATTCAATATCCTCTCAATTTCATCCTGAATCACATTTTGATTATTATAGTCATTCCCAAACATATGAACTGTCCCACATTTTCAAAGGATCTATTAGCTGTTCTTATGTCATAATTTTGCCCTGCACTCTGGTGGTGAGACAGCAACACATACTTAGTTTTCTCAGCAATTACTTCTACAGTAACCTCCTTACTAGTGTCAATTAAAGTTTGTGTGTTTTTCTTTATGGTGTCTATGTAATGACCCAATAGATTCACATCATCAGCATAGACGAACAGCTGATGTGTCCCATTTAATTTCGGGTCCCACGTGGGTTTCCTGGACCTTCCTAATGACATATTCTAAAGCAAAGTTGAAAATCAGTGGTCATAACTGTCCAATCTAAATGAAAATTTAAATGGCCTAACAGTTGTTTAAATACAATTTTATGAAACTCCATCCAGTGGTTCACCAGTTTCATGTGGACAGAGAGAACTTCCATAGGGTTGCAAATTCACATAAAAATATTTGTTAATACGCCCCAATTTAAATCATCATAAAAATATTTGTTAATATGCCCCAATTTAAATCATCTGTGCATTGATAACTGTGGTTCCGTATGGGTATTAATCTTGGTCTCTGACATTAAGGGGGAGGAACACAGACTGGGGGTGTCTGACAACAAGGTGCTGAGGAGAATATTTGGACTGAAGAGAGATGAAGTGATGGGAGGTTGGAGAAAACTGCAAAATGATTGCATTACTGCATAACTTGTACTCTTCTCCAAGTATAATTAGAATGATCAAGTCAAGGAGAAGGAGATGGGCTGGGCAAGTAGCACAAAAGGGGAAGAGGAGGAATGCATATAGGATATTGGTGGGAAAGCCGGAAGGAAGGAGACCACTGGGAAGACCAAGACATAGGCAGGTGGACAATACTAAATGGATCTTATGAGGGATAAGATGGGATGGTATGGATTGGATCGAGCTGGCTCAGGATAGGGACCAGTGGAGGGCTCTTGTGAACACGGTAATGAACCTTTGGGTTCCATAAAATGCTGGAAGTTCTCAAGTGGGTGCACAATTGGCGGCTTCTCAACAAGGGCTCAGCTCTGTGAGTGAGAGAGCGAGTTTAGTTTGGACAATTCTAACAACAAATGTATACGAAGACCTACATAAGTTTCTGCGCGTATCTCAAGCAAAACTCATTAAATATTTATTGAAAGAAACGATGTTTTGTATAAGAGGTGCAGAGATAAATGAAACACATTTCATATTCAGTACACTTTCACTGTATTGCTCACGTTTCTTGAGGTAATTAAACAAATTGGACACTGTCCATACACATCGAAATTTCTATACTCAGCAATCGTTCTCGCAATTTTATACTATCCGTGCCTTTCAAATATTCCCGAGTCTTTCCCCCTAATTAGCACCGATAATCAGGAATATACTGTATATGAAGTTCAATCCTGCAACACAAACTAAATACATGAGTAAATGCTGCTTGTACAGAACTACAAACGATGTACCTGACGCAGCGGGGAAAGTGAAGGGGGGCAATAACACCACGCCGACCGATCTTAGAACATGCAGTCAAGTACTGCTTATAGAGCTCTGCCTGCTCGATGCGGCAGCCAGTGGCTGGTTCGTATGTGGCACGCAGCCACGCTAGAGCGAACTGTTCATTCTCCTGCGCTGCCTGCTGATGGGCATGTTGCTGCTGCTGATACTGCTGTGGCGTCTGCGCCATTGTCAATGACACTGGTGTAGCAACTGCTGGCTGGGGAGCACCAATCACCACTCCTGCATAACAAAAGCACAGTTATGTGGCAATTACGGTGAACAAACACAATATTTAGCAACTGGCTACCATGTTATATAAATTCCAATCGCAATACCACAACCTCCAGTACTGAAAAATTACAAAATATATTTTTCAAGAAAATTTTATAAACAACCTTTCTTTTACAATTATCGTGATTCTGGACACTGTCCATCGTCCTATTGTTTTACTTAAATCAGGGGTGACGTTGTGTTTTAAACAAAAGCAGGGCTATGAATAATGTCCAGAAATACAATAATTGTAATAATATACTATCGTCACGAACTTTTAAATCTTTTTACGAAAATTATGACAACCGATGACAGGTTACCGTTGGCTGTTCCATCTACCTGAAGAATTGGCATTACCTGCAACTACCATATGCTGCACTCTGATGACACACCATGCAGCGTCAACACAGTTTTACTGAATATAGAAATATCAGTATAGTTCTCTTGCGGACTAAACCCACGGAGCTTGTTTGTTATAGAAATATGACGCATACCAGCCGACGTATAAAGGCGTCACATCAGGAAGAAGTAAAATTCTTGACTAACAGTGGAGAACCTCTTGGAACATGCAAATTTTAAGGCATGAGAAGACGTTGAGGGAAAAGGTAAAGTTGTTCCTGTGCTTAACTAATTAAGCACTAAGCCATGAAGGCGTATGCAGAGTGGACGTACAGATCCACATTTTCTTGACCTCGGCACTAATAATCAACTTCACGCCCCGGCCGCTTTACCCACGGGGAAAGAGCCCCCGGTACCCATTTGATAGGAGGATGGGTGGGCCCCCAGAGCCGGTCTGGACGACGTGGAGAAGAGAAAATTATTGACCCACTGGGACTCGAACTCCGACCTCTCGGTCTTCCAGCCCATACCTAGTCGCCATACCGACTACGCTATCCCGGATCTTAAGAGATGCAACTATTAAACTGTGAAATAAACTGAACTGCCATGGATTATGTCTTATGGATGACAATGTTGAACTTTCCTTCATATTCTAAAATCATGGAGCTTATTAGCGCAAGCTCAAAATCACTGTGATTTATCGACCACGGAAACGGATAAATTATATCACATTCATGAAAGGTCAGGTCACATTGCTTATGAAACATAGAGACTATATACTGTATACACTTCCTAGAAACTTGTTTTACACATACAAGTATTATTTTATTCACTAACACAAAGGCACATGGAAGTTCAGTAATTCACATTCAAGAAACTATTTCTGGAGCACAAGGTGACATAACAGAATTAACTTCCTGCTTATTCTTTTAGCATTTAATCACGGAAAAGCATTTTTTTGCAGCGCCATCTCTTATATGATGAAAAGACAATGAGAGAACATGACAAAATATTTACCATTACTTAATAGAAAGGTGTCAGCTGCTGCCCCTTTGTTATAAATTCACTGCTTAGTACAGTCTTATCTTCCCACAGTTCCCCATTTTCAATTTGCAGTGACATATACCGTTACAGCCACAATATGGCACTTGGCCATCTCATGCTCACATATAAATACACTTGCATACAAACGATGGCAAATTTAATTCAAGGCGTTACTTCTTGTCCTACAGCAATTTACACTATCATATCCATATTGTTCTGAAGTGATGACAGATCATTATGGAATTTCACTTGGACTTTATCGCCCCAAAGGTGTCTCCACCTTGTCCTGGTGGTGGGGCTTGTGTGAATCTCTGACCTGGAGAGCTATGTCGGTGGTAGTTTAACTACCAGTAGGGTCACCCTTGCCAGAAAGGTCAAAGGGTAGAGTCCGAACTAAGAGAGATACCCTGGCCCTCCGGGTTTGGGGTTGGGCATGAGGCTTAACAACCTCATCATGTAAAAAGAATTTTGTTCAGAGACCTAACAACCAGCCTCGGGTAATCGTGCATGGGTCCATTCGTATGGCAGTACGCATTGGTTGTGGAGACTGGTTGTAGAAGAGGCCAAGACTCACCCTAGGCTGTAGCACCACGTGGTAGGCAGGCAGGTAGGGTACACTGACTTTACGCTGTGTGTAACTGAAATGTTACATTCCAAATAATATTACATTCCAGTGACTAGTTCTGTATCTGTCCTCAGGTGAAATACAAAAGAATAAACAAAAAACACATTCTGCTGGGCCATTTAGGAAAAAGTTACACTATGAAGCCTACTGATGAAAATTAGTTTTGTCTAATGGGTTCTAAATGCAGGCTTCTCCCGTTTATATTTTATCCTGAGGAATGAGACAAGAGTCTCGAAAATGTAGTAATTTTTGGAATGTTATATTTCATTAATCAGACAATGGATGTGTCCAAATGATTTCCCAAATACCTGAAAAGTCATTTTCTGTAATATAAACTAATTACTTTAGTTCACTTGAAATTCCAGTCACCTAAGTTTTACCGTGCGTGGTATAACACAGTATGTTGTTATTCTTGTTAAAATGTTCCAGCAATATAAACAGCAGATGTAACTGATGCTGATGAACAGAGATACGAACTATTCACTGTGTGATAGACAGAAGATGGAAAACAGGATCTTAAATGGAAACAACCTGCAATGGGTATCTGGCGTTTCACGACGACACTGAACTTCCATACAGAAAACCATGATGTCCTCCTCAGTACCACACATGACTAATCGAAGCTACACTTTAATGATCACAACCAGTTTCTGAAATGAAGTCTGTTTGCGATCTAACTCTTGTCACGACCACTTTCTGCATGCTCTGACAAGTCTGCCTACACAGATTTTTAATACTGATATCTATATTTCGGGCACAGAAACAGCGTATTGTTTTTCCAAGTTGAATCCTCTGAATCCGATACCTAAATTCAAGCATTCACAGCATATATGAGTGACTCTGACAATGATACTGCTTCTGGGCAATGGAGAAATGCACTGCAGTGATGATGTTTCAAAGATGCTTTGGAACAGAGAAATATGTACAGCATGTAAATTAATATAGCATAGGCGATTCAGTTGCAGTATACTGTGGCTCTGAGAGATATTGCCAGGCTCTATGATGTGCACTGAAAACGAGCTCTTGTCCCTTGAGGTTGACATAGGTACGACATTTTGAAATATGATTATTCTGTCCTTACGAACTTCCAAACGTGGGATGCATGTTTTAAGCGTTCTCTTCTAAAACAACATCATGCCTTGAGGTCTCACAACCCTATGGTCCTTCACAGTTTCAAGAGGATAGCAACTGGCTACGGGATGTACGGTTCGGGGGGTCAGAGTTCGAGTCCCAGTAGGGGCAAGTTTTTCTCCTCTCCATGTCACCCAGACCAGGTCTGGTGCGTGCCCAGCCTCAAATCCAAATAGGCTTTGGGGGCCCTTTCCCCAGGGATAAAGCCGCTGGGGAGTAAAGCTCCAACTAGTGCCAAGGTCAAGAATATATGGATCTATATGTCCACTCCGCCATACATTGTGGCCTAGTGCTTACTAAGTTAAGCACAGCGACAACTTTACCTTTTACCCTCATCTGACACACTGATTACATGCCCCAATCACTCCAACATTTTCCCCTTAATATCTGCTACATGATTGGGGTTATACAGAATTCCTCTTGTTTTTGGTTAGTACTCCAAACTCTTTGTTCAGTTACAGGTCCATATACCCTCCTCAAAAATTGTCTGGGATACAACATTTTATACATAACACCTTAATGCATACGTAGCTCTTGTAAAGAATGCCTAACTCAGAATGACTACACCTCTTACACTTACTCTAGACTGGATCACATAATCCTATATTAGAAATGGTATGACGATGTATGAACATGTTACAAGGATATCCAGCTGTGTAACATACTTAAACTGTAGCTTGTATTAACGTCAGTTTGAATTAACAGGTTCTGTATTAATGAAGAGCGGTCAAACCACAGCTCCCATACAATTAGTGTGCTTTGTACTATCAACACTTTCTTTGCTTCATATTAACTGACACAGGGAAAATAGAGAAAACAATAAACAACAAAGGACTAAAGAATGTATACGTTTCTTTTTACCTTGTAAGAAAGCAGGATGTGTGGCTGAAATTCAAATGTGTACCAAGATTAATATACACAAAAATCTGAGATAGCAAAACAAACATATGGTTTATCAGTTTCTACTGGAAGTATGGTATTCTTATAAGTGGCATACATCTAGTATAAGAACTTCAAACAATTATTATTTATACACTAACAAGTTTTCTGTGAGACCACTCCATTTCTTGTGTTAGAGCTTTGATCTTTCCCACATTCTTGGAACAAATTCTGCAACATTATCCATGATATCTATTTCTTATTACCGCAGAGGTCCGTTAGAAGGGATAGGAGGAGTGGCGAGTCAGAAATACACAATTTTTACTTAATTTAATAACTAGTGGAATAAGGAAGAATTTCCTGATAAATGGAAGGTGTATATTACTGTACCAATTTACAAGAAGGGCGATAGAACTGACTATACAAATTATAGTGGGATATCACTGTTATCAACTTCACACAAAATTTTATCCAATATCCTTCCATCCATAAGTAGATGAAATTATTGGGGATCATCAATTTGGGTTTAAATGTAATAGATCAACTACTAACCAGATTTTTTTGTTTGCATTCGTCAGATACTGGAGAAAAACGTGGGCGTACAAGAAGACCGTACATCAGCTATTGATAGACTTCGAGAAAGTCTATGATTCAGTTAGGAGGGAATTATTTTACAATAATTTCATACAGTTTGGTGTATCCATGAAACTAGTTAGGCTGATTAAAATGTGTTTAAATTAAACCTACAGTAAAGTCGGTATAGGTAAACATCCGTCCATCCAAATGGTGTAAAATAAGGTGATACTTTAATGTTATTGTTCTAGAAAATGTCATTAAAAATGCCCAGGAAAACTAGGTGGGACTGAAATTAAATGGGGCACATCATCTGCTGATGATGTCAAGCTACTGGGAGATAACACAGAAACTTTAACTGATGCTAGTAAGGAGGCTGGTCTAGAAGTAAACGTAGAGAAAACTAAGTATATGTTGCTGTCTTGTCACCAGAATGCAGGGCAAAGTCATGACATAAAGATACATAACAGATGTTTTGAAAATGAGCCACAGTTCAAATATTTACGAATGACAGTAACAAATAAAAAACTGATTAAGAAAATGAAGGTTAATGCTTATTACCATTCTGTTCAGAACCTTTTGCATTACTGTGTGCTGTTTACAAACGTAAAAATTAGAATATATAAAACTAATTTTCCCTCTGGTTCTGTATGGGTGTGAAACTTGGTCGCTGACATTAAGTGAGGAGCGTAGACTGAGGGTATTTGAAAACAGGGTTCTCAGGAGAATATGTGGACTGAAGAGGATTAAATAATAAATGGCCAGAGAAAACTGCATACTAAGTAGTTTCATAACCTGCACTTTTCACCAAACAAAATTAGAATGCTCAAGTAAAGGAGAATGAAAAGGGCAGGGCAGGGCAAGGAACACACATGGGGTAGAAAAGGAGCGCATATAGGGTTTCAATGGGAAAGCCAAAAAGAAGGAAGCCACTTGGAAGATCAAGACGGAAGTGGGAGGCTAATATTAAATTGATGTTACAGACATAGGATGGAGTGGTATTGACTGGGCTGATTTGGCTCAGGATAGGGACACATGAAGGGCAATTGTGAACAAAGGTAATGAACCTTTGGGTTCCAGGATATTCTTTAAGGGCTGCACAACTGGTAGCTTATCATGAAGGACGCGACTCCATGGAGTTAGTTGGTTTGTTAGTGGGATGTCAGTCGTTCAACAGAAGCCATCTTACATGTTACCACAGTAAACCACACTGTTTACAAATTTAGTACAGTTTAGTTAAGGCATTAGCTTCAAAAGCATACACAAAGGGGAGATGTGATAATACATGCCTGCATACATACATACATACATACGATGCCCAGGACATTTTTTGTGTTTATGCAGGTTAGCCTCCAGGGCAAAAAAAAAAAAAAAAAAAAAAAAAAAANTATATATATATATATATATATAGAGAGAGAGATATGCACTGGAATAAAAACTAGAGTAATTTATGAAAGGTTTGATGGGTGGGATGTGGGAGGAAGTATGTTAGTGTGAAATTATTAACATAAAACAGACAATTCACAATTTGGATGAGATACATTCATTTCTCAGTCAACATACACCTGGTGTGTAAATAAGAACACAAAATGGGCAAGGACGATAATTAATGGTGAATACAGGATCTGCTGCAGTGTGAACTGTATCAAATTAAATGCTTGAACGAGAAAACTAAGTTACTTCATAAAATATTTTGTTCTTTATAGATGTCAATGCTAATATGTACCGTCTGAGGTTTACAGATGGTGGTGACCATCCTTCTGGGATGAGACACTGTGTAGTCTGGTAGATATTTATCATGTAGAGAAAAATTGTTGCCCTCATCTTCAAGGAAGAAAAGTAAGTCTAGATGCCCGTACATAAATATCAGATGTCACAGCGTCACATCCAAGAGAACTCCAGTATGTATGCAATGCTACCACAGTGAAGAAAAGTACAGTACTGCTGGAGACGTATGCCATATCTATACTGTTTTTTCTTGAAATGGAGATAGCAACAATCTCCAAATCGCCAGCAATACTCGCACGATCTACTGCAGAAAGCAGTCAAGCAGAAACAGTACAGAAACTAAGAGGTCTACATTCTAGGATATAACATTGGGTAGTCCAGTAAGAGTCAGTGGAAGTTTTGGAGGAATATGTTGCCCCTATCATCAGGAATGAAGAGTAAACCAAGCCTCTCCTTCCTGCATGCCTCATCCTGGTTTCTTGCTTGGCTAACTTTACAGACCTGAAGATGGAGGCAACATGTTCCTCCAAAATGTCAGCTGAATTTTACCGGACCACACAGCATTATACTCCAGATGTTAAAACTCTTCATATCCACTAATTAGAGAACCTCAAATGCTACACAGTATTCAAAGTGACTGTTTCACACACCAATTTCATCTACAACAGTGCTACATATTTTGCTTGTAAACTTGTATTCCATAATGCATGTACATAAACTTCAGAGAGATTTACAAAGTAGATAAAATTATAAAACTGTTTTCATTTTGGAAATAAAAACGTATCGTAGCTATGCAATAACCACGAGATAGGCGAATAAATATGCAACAATAAAAGAACGGTGTTTTCTATGTGGACTGCGCCGATAAGTTATAACCAGAGCAGTTGGAGCAATGAGTTGAGTTGTGAAAGGGAGGCTGGAAAGAGATGCCACTATAATAAAGGTGACAGTTCAGTTGTGGAGTGTTAACCAGCGGACAACGGCATCACCAGAGAAGCTGAAGAACATCCACTGTTAAGATATGTTACCACGAAATGACTAGTGAAAGCAGACTGAGAAGAGTTTGAACATGAAGTAGCTGGATCTTGAAGTCAACCACTCACCTCCATCTAGTGCCGAAATTAAGAATGTGTGGAGCTACACTTCTACTCCATTTATCTTCAAGGCATGGTGCTTTTTAAGCACACGAGCAAACTTTTACCTCTACCAATCACAACTGACAACAAGTATTATAAACTTCAGCAGAATGCAGGTGTAACTTTACTATGCTTCAATCTCACTCATCAGTTATATTCAGTCACAAAATTCGCAAGTTTAAAATGTTTGAAACTTGTGTCCTATATTCTGGGTACGCATTTATAGTCAGGCCAATAACCTTTATGACAAAGGACAATCAATACCTCTGTTACCAAGTCTCATATTTTTATGGAAACCTATGAAAGGTAAAAACTTTGTCATACATGTTATATGTGTGATCATCTATAATCAATATTACAGAGCGACTAAAAAACGTGTCTACCAAACTTGCTTTCTGTTCAGATATGTGAATGGAAGAATGGTGAGTAAGTCTAAACAACAGACGTAAGGGCAATAATGAATGCTCACTGCACAGCCTGGTGCAATGGAACATTCAGATTGGCTGTGAAGGGGTTAAAATGTATCATTCATCTTAGGGCAGTAAGTTCTTTAGAGTTCTTTAATGTGAAATGAACTAAGTTGGTTCTGGATAGGACGTTCTAGTGGCAAACTTTGTTATGTTATTCAAGAACACTTAGATTTCATAGTAACTGTAAACATGGCCATTTATATGAGGGTAGGGTTTACACGTATAATACCATAAGAAATGCCTGAAGAGACAGGAATAAGATTCTTTTCTCAAAGAATTATTTAGAAAAAGTAAAATGCTTAAATCCAATATATGATAGCATCTGAATTAGTTATGATTACAACAAAAAACAAATCTGCATTTATAGGTCACACCAGAACTTAATCCAGAACAGCCTACTTACTCTGTGGTGCTGGCTGTCGGTGGGGAGTGGTTGCAGCTGGGGGACGCGCTGGAGTTGATACAACAGGTGCAGGAGGGTTAGGGTTTGGAGTCCCAGCAGCCATGGCATTTGTCGTTGTGGTAGTAGTGGTTGTTGTGGAACCTGCTTGCATCCCAGACACAGTCTCCACCACACGCATTAGGATGCATGCCTTTGGTCCATAACTTTGTGCCTAACAGAAAAAAAATGCAAACTGTAGTTCCCTCTGCCCTCACTGAGTGGGATTACTTTACATCACTACCAAATTCACATGAATATATTTACCATTAGACTACAGGGCTTTAATAATACTTTCCTCACATTAGTTTAAAACATCATTAACATTTCAATGTATTTACCTCAACTGTGATGAGCGATACGAGTGTTTCGATGGCCCCATGAACGCGAACAATACAGTTGCAAGCACGTTCACCCAGCGACGAGAGCGAGTACAGGCACTCGAGTGTATAGATGAGAAGCATGATGTCGTGAAGTGTGAGGAAGCTGCACAGTTGGTCATAGACACGCTGGTCCAGGCAACGTAGCATTATATCTTCATTTTCATCTTTCTGACTCAACTTATTGAGCACCTCAAGGCATGACAGAACGATGAGCCGATCCTCGGAATGTAGGCCATGAGTCACTGAATTCAACAAACAGGCAGCTAAACGATCTGTACTGGGATCCTCCATCAACACCTCATGGGCAACATTGCCTAGCATGTCCAGACCCAGCTGATGCAGAGAATTCCATCGTGAGCCTGCACAGAGCAGCAAGAAACGAAGGAATGGCACGTTGCGTGCCAGAACAACCACATTCTCTTCTACGAAGCTTAGGTTGCGAAGGATCGTGGCCACCTGCAACACTCTCTGACCAACATAATCTTGTGTCCCAAACGATCTTCCCAAACAGAATAATTCCAAATCCGATGGTTCAACCTTCAGTAGAGCTTTAATGCTACTCTCAGTCTTTGATTTTTCCTTTCGGTCCACCTCATACAAGAGTCCATCTTCTCTCTCCTCATAAAACGCCTGCTTTGTCTCAGTTCTCACCACATTTTCTGACACACACACACCTGCAACCAGATCTACGTCTACTTCCATGCTTGTAGCACTATCCACCATTCCTTCTCTGTCCTCCTCAATTTTGCGAGGCAAAATGTCTGTGTCCATCTTCTCCAGAACTTCCTCATCACCACTATTTTTAACTATGAGTCTCTCACTACACCTACTGCTACTTCGTGATGGTCTATCACTGATATAGCTGGCACCCGCCAGTCCTCCTGCTTTACTGTCAGCTTCACATATCACTTCTTTCACCTTGGGTTTTTTTGTAGGGAAGAGAGTTTCATCTGCCAAGTCACGTAAGTCCAAATCTGCCAGTGCATCTGGCCAGAAGTGTTGCAGAGAATATTTCCGTATTTTCCCGTATACCTCTTCAAATAGTTCTCGCATTGATGCTGCGGAAGAGACAGACTTGTAAGCAACATAAGGATATGGACCAAATATTCTTGAACAGTAATTTATATGTTGGTTTAACTTGAATAAGAAATTTAAAAAACTGTTTATCAAAGAATCTGTATATAATTTATTTAAGCTGAATAACTGCAACTTTAATTAGCATGGCTCTTTGTGGACTGCTGGTCTGTTAATGTTTCTTGATGCAAGGCTTTCCTACATCTGAAACTCTATTTCAATGGCCCTAAGTCAATAATCTCAGCTTTAACTTCCTTCCATTCAAGACCTTCCAAAGTTTAGTGTTCAAATCCTTGGGTACCAAAAGAAACCTTAAATAGCAGTTTCACTTTAACAGATTTTGAAATCGACAAAGTTAGATCGCATATAAACGTACATTTTGGCTCAGTAAAACTACTGAGTTTTTGGACGTTATCCACCGTCCTGTCCAAAAAGTCAACTGTGTATTAATATACCATCATCACAAGCTTTGAGATTATATCTTTCGGCTATTAACTAGTGCTTCAGATCAGATAAGAGAGACAAATAGAGAGAAAAAGATAACTATTCATATATCTAATGTGGGAAAGTAGGAAATGGAGATACTTGTAATATGAGATTAGGTAAAAAAAAAAAGTAAAAGTATCCCTGTAACAGGCCATGAAGGCCCATAGGGTTGTGAGACGTTGAGGGTCCATCATTATCTAGACAATCGGCTCAAAGATGGCGGTAAGGCTGTCAGCCTTACGCGCCAGACGCGCTTTACTCCCTAGGAAAATTATTTAATTCATTCCTGGTACTCATTTCTGTTAGAGGCTGAGTCGACCCCAGGGCCACAGTGCAGCTCGAAGGATTAGGCCCAGTGGAAAAAAAAAAATCCAATGACCTCATCGGGACTTGAACCCGCGACCTTCCGGCTTGTAGCATAGTGCCTCAACCACTACGTTACCGCGTGCCCCATGAGATTAGGTAAATACAGGGTGATTCACGAAGTTTTACCGCCACTTAGGGAGGGCAGTCCTGAGGTAATTTGGAACGAAAAATGTTAATATACTAATGGTATCCAACTCATAATTAAGGAGATACAGTAATTTTAAAACTGGCGAAAAATCTTTTTTTCCTTCGAATTTCAGTCAAAACAAATTAGAAATTCAATACAAACACTTTTTATATCGTTAATGTTTTAGGAAAGAAGCATTCTAAAACTTTTTTTTTTCAATTTCTTAATTTTGCATTGTGCAACATTTTTCATCGACTTTATGTTACAAAATTACATTATTTTCAGCATCCCATTCTGTAAACATACCAATGGTTGCATATCACACCCTTCTATCAGTCTGTTCCTTTAAACTGTAGTGCTTTAGAGGACGACTGGATTTACATAAGATTTTCAAAAATGTCTCCCTGCACGTCAACACAACGCGTCGCACGCGTATGAACCGCGCTCGTAGCATTTCGCAGTTCCACGCGTTTGTTCCTTATTGTCATCGCCGCGTCCAGAATACGTTCAAGCAACGCTTCACGTGTTTGAACCTTTACCTGGTACACAATGTCCTTCATCCAGCCCAAAATTAAATAATCTAACGGCGTTAGATCTGGAGACCTGGGAGGCCAGGTGTTACGGCCTCCACGACCAATCCACCGCTGTGGGAAATGCCGATCCAAGTGAGCTGTTATTGCGAGGGAGAAGTGGGGAGGCGCCCCATCATGCTGAAAGTACATCCGACGTCTTGTTGCCAGAGGAACATCTTCAAGTAACTGTGGTAATTCTTCTTCTAAGAAGTGGAGGTAATCTCACCAGTTAAGCGGCCAGGAAAAATGAACGGCCCGATTAGTTAATCATACAGAACACCACACCAGACACTGACACTGAATCGGTGTTGAAAATTCGATTCTATCGTGGCATGGGGATTGTCCGCCCAAACATGTAAGTTGTGACTGTTGTTGACCCCGTCCCGTGTAAACTGTGCCTCATCGCAGAACATTATCAAGCGGTACAACTGCCGATTTCCATTTAACCAGTTGCAGAACTGCAGATGAAGAGCACGGTCTCCTAGTTGTAGGTGTTGTACTTGCTGTAAATGATAAGGATGCAGCCCGTTCTCATGAAGGGTCCTCCACGCCATGGACTGAGAAACACCGAACCGCCGAGCTAGACGTCTTGTACTGGCATGCGGACTGCGCTCTACAGCATCGAGAATGTTTTCTTCTTCGCACAATTCATGTTGAGGATTTCGTTCGTATTGTATACGAACGCTGGGGAGAGAACCAGTTTGTCTTAATGTGTTGAATGTACTGCTAACGGATTTAGGATTCGGAATCCTGCGATTAGGACAACACCGGTGATATTCGGCAGCAACGGCTCTCGCATTTCCATCACATACACCCAAAACAAACACCATATCGACGTATTCCTTAGTCGAAAATGTGTATGGCATCTTAACTTCACAAAGTCACCAACACAACGTCCCATTTGCGACTGGAACGCAACATTCCAGCCGGTCTGCGTTATCTGCTGACACAGCTGACTGGAACGCATGGTCGCCCAGTCGGGGGGGGGGGGGGCATAGCGCTGCATTCATAATGATGCGTTTGGAAAATCCATTGTTACTCCGTAACTACTGAAAATCGACCACAAGTTTATAACGAAATTTTGCAGGAAATAACCCCAGGAATATGTACCATATGCCGGGGTAAAACTTCGTGAATCACCCTGTATGTGAATTACATTTTTGTTTCTCTAAAAAGGACCATATACAACCTTACATTTATGAGCTCTGCAGTTCTACTGGTGGTGAATATTAAGACTGCAGTCTTCCTGGATGTGATGATGTGTAGTTTGGTAGATGGTTACTGATGTTTCAGAGGTAGCTGCTGCCTCCATCTTCAGAGTGGAGGCTGCAGGTTCATCCAATACATCGGTGACCATGTCCACATGGCGTCACATTAAACACCAGTGCAGTCCTAACCATACACTTGCATTCTTACTTCTCTTTTGTGACCACCCAAGTTCTGATACAGGGAGATTATAAAACAAGTCTGCACTGTATTTTCTTCCTGTTTTATAACCAGAGAAGTTATGACACAAAGGATCTATAAACAAATTGCATTTTATTTTCTTTTATACTTAATTTTATATCATAATGTGAGGGAGGAATAAGCTTTACACAGATTTATAAAGACATTTAAACCTCACGAAAACTGTTTCCTGAAACAAAACAGGATAGTATCCCCACCAACTTTAAGCATCGGTTACAAGCTCCGAAATACAATCCTAACATAGAGCCTTTAACTCTGGCCGCGCCAAAGCTCAAGCAGTTAGTCTCTGGTTTCCCACTGCGGTGGCGCGGGTTCGATCCCGTGTCTGGTCAAGTGGGATATGTGGTGGACAAAGTGGAGCCGGGGCGGGTTTTCTCCGAGTACTTCGGTTTCCCTTGCCAATCTTCATTCCACTAAATTCTCCATCATCATAATCACCCGGGGCAGGTACAAGAGGCCAATCAGTGGCCGCCGTGCCGAGTGGACCCAGTTGGACTCCACCCCCCACTAAGCGAATTAAATTAATTAGAGCCCTTAACTCTCTGCCCCACACTTCCTATTCTACAGTCACAGCTGATGGTTACTTACAATGGTTGAAGACACCAGCATGGGCCAGCAGGAAGTCAATGAGACGCGGATACTTGTCCAACTTGAGGGTGTGTTTGCCCTCATTGGACAAAAGTGTACATACGTTGATGGCAAAATCTTGCTCGTTGGGTAGCGGCGATATAAGAGATAATGCCAAGCAGTCATAGTCTGATGCCTTATACAGGTCAGCTGACAATCCATTGTATGAACGGAGAGAGTCTGCCAAAGAAAACGATTTGGATTAGAAGGGTAAAATAACTTGTATTTGTTACAGAAGTTAACATGATTTGTTTACTGTAAATGGAATACACTTTTTGTTCTCTTCAACAGAAATTTATACCTACTTCATACACTGAGTGGTTCGAAGACATGAAACAAATTCCTTTTCAAATGTAACCTGAAGATTCTTCACCATCATCATGAATATCTATCACAGAACCATATCTCTGCTATTTTAGATAAAACAGTTACATATGTCAAAAACTGTGTCATCAGTGTCAGTAGAATTTCATGAAAATTTACATGTAAAGACAAAGAAGTCAGGCACCGGTACTTCCCCAGTCTCTGTTTACTGACATTACATGACAAACAACAATGGGCAATACAAAGGAACAAAAGAAAACCTTCAATTATCAGCTTAATAACTGTCGTCAAAAGCCAGCTCATACTTTCACTAATTGTTTATGGATATGTGACTAATAATAACGGGCTTTGGATTGGATAACTGGATTTATTAACGCCTCCTTTTACAATCACAACCAATCACACTAAATTACAATAATTCACAATCAATCTTCAGCCGAACCCTTCTTCCTGGACTGCCGAGGACTAGCTACATTCTTGTTCTGATTCATTAGGGTCAGAGTCCAGTCTTATTTTATGACCGACGGTCAGTCAGCCAGTCTGTCTTGGAATAGAGCACAAATCTGTCAGGCAGATGCGGGTTCGTTGATGTGGGGCACTCTTCCTGACGAGAGGTTGGGTCTGTCGTTTACAACTGCTGCTATCCTTGCCAGCGCAAACTTTCTCGGGTATTCGACCGCGCCTCCACACGGGTTCCTCAGATACCTTGACTTCAAGCCAAAGTCATAGTGCGACTGACGGTCCGTCAGTCAATCTTGGTGTCGAGCTCAATCTGGGGCTCATGACCAGATATTTATTACTGTTTGACAGTTTAGGTCTTGTTATTGTGGGGCGCCCTCTCTGACGAGAGGACGGGTCTGTCTTTTGTCAGAGTCACTGTCTGTAGCAGTAACTCATTTGTCATAACGTAAAGGATTTGCTTTTGCGGAAATGTGTTTAGCGACCAGTTGCCTAGCAATGGACATGATGCGGACGATATATGAAAACACTTCTTGCAATATCATTTCTATTGTTGCGTGCGCCAATTTCGGGAGTTTTCTAGAAATTGGTCTACATGTCAAATCTATATCTAACACTATTTCAACGTTGATCATTTGAAATTTGAAGACAGAAGAGAAGGGGGGGGGTTGTGACAAACACTGAATTTATCATGGGGTGATGCTGAGAGGAACTTTTCAGCTCAGAAGGTCCTCAGGCAGGGCCTGTACATCCTTTTGGTAGGGACAGGTTGGAGAGAATGTAACGTGTCGGAAGCAAAGCAGGTAAAGCGATGGAAAGTGAAATCTTCTGTAGTTATGTAGCAGATGAAAGAAGTTGAGCTGGTCATTTACGTATTAGGAAAGACTTCTGTTGCCCCTTGAAGGCCATATTCCTAGGAATAAGTGAATTAATACGCTACCTATGTATACAGTATTACATTTTGCTAAGGCCAAATCCTCTCGCCATTAAAGATAAAATCAAAGACATTTGGAAGGGCAGAAAGAAAATGTAAATGCGTGAAATTCAAATTTAAATTTTAAACTTGAATCTCTTGTTCAGGCCCAGGACATTAGGAAGATGTCAGCATTTGGCAGTGATACATTTCTCAACTTTGCAGGAACTGAGATGACATAACAATTATAAGAATCAACATTGTTTTATCTCTTTCTTCATCTTCTCCATTTACCTTTTCTTTTCTCTTTCTCATCATCCTGTTTCCATTTCAACCTTTTCCCTTCTTTCATTAACTTAAGATCCCACTCTTCTCCTTCTGTCTGTTCTTTCCTACCTCCTTTTCCTTTTCTTGTTCTTCACATTCTCTCTTCCTCCTCCTTCCTATTCTGCATCTCCTCTTCCCACATCCTACTCTTCTTCACCTCTTTCTCCTTATTTTTATTTTTGCTTCTGTCCTCCCCTCCCTCTACATCTTGTTCCCTCTCTGCTCCTTCCCTTCTTAAATATTCCAGTCTCCATAATTGCGGAGTCATGGTCCCGAAGGGACAATCGAAGTTCTGCGCAGTCTACACCTTTGCTTTCCAGTGGTCTGAATTCGGGTGCATTCAGGAAAGGTCTTTACCTCAGAGCAGGGTTTCTAAAACTTTTGTGATACAGCGATTCTATAAAATAAGACATCAATTTGAGCGACCACGACCTTTGCCAATTAACGAAAAGTGCAGTTCTGTACTTGCTGATCATTATGAACGTGAACGATGAAAGCAGGAACCTAAATAGCTTCATAGCCTCTCTGTACCTACGGTAAGCAATAAAATGTTTCTCTACAGTCATGACGAATTCGTGACACGTTTCGCCGGCTGCAACCACATTCTCTGAAAGCCACCTACATTAAATCTCAGTGACTTCAACTTGCAAAGACTGTAGTGTGGATACAGCAGTGTTCTAAGTAATTCCTGAGAACTCGCGGGTCCCCTTAGGGCACGAATCGCGACCCACAGTTTCAAGTATCCTCGCTTCGTTCTCGCGAGTCGCCACTGTGCAGAACCGCGTTCCCGCCACCCGTCCACGTGGGGCACGGAAGATGGGGTTACGTAACCGCTGGATACACCATCCAACCAACGGACGAATCGGAAAGGTTCTGAGAAGGGGAGGAGTGGGGGAGACTGGAAGCCTTGACCATGGCCTAATGTCGGACGAGCAACCCGACATATGCTACCGGAAAGGGTGGACGGGTCTTCTCAGGAAACATCCAACGTGGACAGTACTACACCCAAAACACAACCCACTTGGTTGACAGGGAAGCCGTAGGTTTCACAATGGCCGGCGCTCCCCGAGAGCAGCAGGGCATTCCTGTTCGCAGTGAATCTGAAACAGAGACTTTCAGAAATGCGTGGCACTGGAACCCATTCTGAATAAATTAAAATTCCAACATGCATCTTCCTCGGTCTCTTGAGATGACATTTAAACAAACAAAATTTGCGTTTTGGGGGGTGCGTTCCCTCCTTATACTACATACCACAACCAATTCCACCATTTCACATAACCACAGTCGGTATAGCGATTGGGCTATGGGAGGGACGACCTACAACCGGGGTTCGATTCCCGGTATGGGCAAGAGACTTCTCCCTTCTCCACAGTGTCCCGATCGGCTCTGGGGTCCGGTCGACTCGGCCTCCTATTTAACGGGCAACAGACTTTACAGGGGGGTAAGAAGGCAGGGTCATGAAGCTATACAACCCCCTACCATACTCTTCTTGGTGTGGTGCCTAATTATGCAACGGAGAAATTTAACTTTTCCTTTTACAACAAAGAACACGGGTCTTTTACTCTGAGCAGTTGTCTCTGTACTTAAACACTATGCCATTAACACATACGGGGGGAGGGTTTGTGGAAGTATAGCTCCACAATTCTTGACCTCGGCACTACATGGAGGTGTCAGTTTCACGCCCCGCCCGTTTTACCGCCGAGGAAATCGCCCCTGGTAGCCTCTGAACAAAGTTCAATTATACCAAACTGTTGCATGTGTCAGTGTAAGAATTCTCTATGAGCCCGATTGTCTAGAAAATGTGGGAACCTCATTATCTCACAACCCTATGGTGAGGTCACCTAAGAAACCTATAGCTCCTGTATCGCCTTTAAAAATCCAGATAGATGGTCGTCCAGATCGATGGGCTCGTAGCGATAAAGAAAAAGCGGAACTCTTCGCAGCACATTTATCGAAAGTCTTTATGCCAAATGCCAGTCATCCTGATCAAGAGATTGAGAACGATATTACCACATTACCGCCAAATATTCCGACAATAAAAATATTCAGCCCAAAAGAAATCAAAGAAGAAATTGGGTTCTTAAATATCAAAAAAGCACCTGGTATTGACAAAATCACACCGAAAATGATGAAAGAGTTGCCAAAAAAGGGATTAGTCATGCTAACATACATCTATAATGCTATGCTAAGACTTAGTATTTGGCCCAAACAATTAAAGACAGCAGAAATTATCTTGATACCAAAACCAGGAAAAGACCCAAAAGAATTATCTTCGTATCGTCCAATAAGCCTACTGTCCATAATAAACAAATTATTTGAGAAGCTTTTACTTCGGAGACTAAATA